TTCTTTCAGAAATGTTATCCAAAATTTAGACTTTTTATTAAAATGAAGATACATCTGATAGGAGCTTACTTGGCCTTTATAAAAGTAGATTAATGTCGCCCTATTCAGTGTGGCTAGGTGTTTAGAGCATTGGCCTGCACACCAAAGGGTCGGGGATTCGATTCCCAGTCAAGAGCATGCATCTGGGTTGTGGGTTGGATCCCCAGCCCTTGTCACGTGTCCCAGAGGCAACCAATTGATGTGTCTCTCTCACATCAATGTTTCCATTTTTATTTCTCTCCCTCTCTCTAAGCATGTCCTCTGGTGAGGATTTTTTTTTTTTTTAAAGGAAAACAGTTACACTTTAACTATTTTGAAATAAAATATTTGAACCTCTTTTGTATTATTTTAGGAATAAGTCTAATGAAGCTGATGACTGTCAAAGAGAACTTAGAAAACTGAAGTTTGAATCCATTATTTCTGAATCAAGGTATACATTGCAAATTTTTTAATTAATATTTTTTTAGTAATTGAATTTGAAACCATATTTTAAATAACATTTAAAATGTACTTTGGTTTTCTTATTGTATTGTTTGCATATATATTACCAAATTCAAGTTTATAATATCTTGAAGCTATTTCCTGATTTTTGCCTCTGCCTACCTGGGAAAAATTTAATATCACAGAGCTATCCATTTTCCTAGCATTCTTAAATTTTGTAAGGTAAAGTTATAGTCTATAATTTCAAATAAAAATTGCAATATCTTTGATAAACATGAATATATAGTATCTAATGCATGTCGATGAATTTTTTGACCTTTTTAGGCATACTAGATTGCTTAAAGAGAAAGAAGACTCTTTAATGGCTTGTCAACAAATATATAAAACTTTACAGGAAGAACTGACTGCAAAAGAAAGTCAAGAAGAAGACATAAAAAGGAGAATTAACCTTGCAGAAAATGAACTAGAGAGAACCAAAATTCTTCTGAATCAGACAAAAGAAGAGGTTATAACACTGAAAAGTGAAAGGTGCAGTCAAGAATAATTTCTCCCAAAAGTATTTTATGTTTATATCAGTATTCCATATATATTGGAAACATCAAAGTCCTGAAATCCCAGGATTAAAGATGTATTTCACCTGAAATGTCATTATATTCCACCACCTCACTTACAGGGATCAAACTGAAGCTTAAATTGGTGCAATTTCTTGCTTAAAGTCAGTGACAGTAGAGATAGAACTCACATTGCATTTGGTGTTAGATTTTTATTGAAAAGACTAAAATGACCGTGTGTGATACTTTACTGAATTTCCCCTGGACCAGTAATTGGTGGAGTCTGTCATTTTCCAATAGAGAAAAATATTTTTTAATATATATTTTTTAATTTTTTTAAAAAAGTATATTGTTGAGAGAGAATAGGATGTGGGATGGGAGGGGATCAATGGAAGGAAAAGGGGGGCATCTGTAATACTTTCAACAATAACGATAAATTTTTTAAAAATTGTATGAAAATGTTCTTAGCAGCTTTATTTACAATTACTGTTCTACTCTTCTGTATTTACCCAAGAGAAATGAAAATGGATATACATACTAATATGGATAAGCAAAGGTTAATGGCAGCTTTATTGGGGCTATTACCTCAGATTGAAAACAATAAAAATGACCATCAGTTAGTGAGTAATCACGTTGTACAGGGTGGGGCAAAAGTAGGTTTACAGTTGTACATGTGGAAAATAATACAATAATTAATAATATAAGAATGAACTCTGTGTTTTGCATACTCACAACTATAAAGCTACTTTTTTCTCACCCTGTATATTTATAGCATGGAATATACTATTCAGAAAAAAAAAATTGATTTATGCAACAACATAGATGAACATCCAGGTCCATTAATTTTTAAAGGAAAAGAAAAGAAATCTTTTTAAAAATGTATCTTTATTGTTGAGAGAGAATAGGACAGAAAAAGGGAAAAACCTTTTACTGGTTCGTCTTCTCTTTCTTATGTGTCAGCACCTCTTACTGAAGACTTGCCATCAGCACAGACACCTCTGGTGTTCAGGTAGTTTCAAGGACGCTAAGAAGCAGATCATCCAACCTGCCTAGACATTTTTGCCGTTGATTTGTCCTTAAACTAACCTCTGTACTTAGCATCCCAACCCTGCTTGCTTGCTTTCTGTTTCCATTTGCCTGGCATGCCTCTGCTCGTTCTTTGTGGGTCCTTTTGTTTTAAATGCATATTTGATACATAGCACAAATTTGGGGGTTTGTGTTATTGGATTTTATCAAATCTGGGAGTCCTTTAATAGGAGATATGATCCCATTCACATTGATTGATATGATTATTACAGTCCGGAAGAACACAAGTTCCGTAAGGGCAAGAATTTTTGTCCTGTATTGTGCTCGGTGCGCAGAAAGCACTATCGGCTGTTTGGTTTTCGGCCTTCCTATTGTTTTGATCTTTCAGTTTATTATTTTACTCATTTCATGTTAATATAAGAAGAAGAATAGGAGAATGAGTGCTGGCCCGGACCCCGTAGTTGAACGCGCCTGCCCCGCATGCCCTGTCCTCCCCCGCAATGCTCAGGCTGTGCAGTTGGGGGAGCCTGCTCGGCCGCTGTGACACCATCTGACCCGACCTTGTCTTCACGCTGCCCAGGGAGGTGCCCGGCTCCTTCCGTGGCGCTCCATGGGAGGAGTAAGGGGCTGAACGCCAGCCTGGAGTCTGCCCTCCCAGCCCCGTGCCGGGCGCAGAGGAAGGGGCTCACTGCTGTCCCCTAAGTCACCATCCTGCCACGGCCCTGACCAGGCCGTGGCCTTGGTCTGCTCCCACCCAGAGGGAACTTCTGATTCACCAACCAGCGGGGAAGCAGCTTGAAATCTGCGCTGGCTAGCAGAGCTGTGGCCCTCACCTGTGAGGCAGGTGTCATTCTCTACATAAGGAAATAGGTTAAGCAAGGCTAAATTTCTTGGTCAGGGTGCCTGTGTCTAACCTTTATAACCCATGTTCCCTCTCCTACGGTTTGCACAATTCCCTCAGCATCTGCCTTAAAAGACCCAATTTTGCCAGCTTCTGCCATGTGACTTCTCTTTCTCAACCATGTTGTAATATGGTCTTCAGGGGTCTTCCACCCCTGCAGAAAGCAGAAAAACCCAGGGTGCCTCCTCTGTGTCCCCTCTC